TCACTGCGAATTCATTTTCCTTAAAGCACCAGGGCCCACAAACGTAACAAAAGTTGTCCGGTTTATTTACACATGTGCGCGGCATATTCACTTTTCGAGAAAATACAGCTTGTCATTAACCAACGGTTGAACGAACACTAACTTGTTTAAGGTAAAGGATATTATACATATACAGGGTGTTTCAGTTTATTGTTGCATAACTTTAAGATTCGATAGAACTTTTAAAATTAATGAATAAAGTCTATATAAACATGAGTCGAAAAATGCGTGGCTTCCGAAATACAGGGTGTTTTACTTTTTAAAATAGTTTTTTTAAAATATTTCGAACAATATTTGATGTATAACAGTGAACATTGGTATACAATTTTTTGATTCGTGAATTTTCGTTATAGGTAGCCGTTTTTGATGTATTTCGATTTTTAAGGTTCGATGCATTTTTAATTATTTGTGATAAAATAACGTTAAAAAGTCAGTATCTCGATAATTTTTAGAAGTAGGCTGTGCCTGCAAATATTTTTGAAATTGAAAGCAGAATAAGGTTAAACGTCAATTAGTTGACAGTTAGTTTTGTTGTCTGTTGAAACCTGAAACGTTTTTTTGCAATTGTGAATGCACGAAATTTAGTTTCTTTTACCTGTTTTTTTTTTTGTAAGTTTTATAAAAATGCCATTTTTATTCTCCAATCAAGAGTTAGCGGATATTCATTCTGTGTATGGCTTTGTAAATGGAAACGCAGCAGAAGCAGCCAGAGAATACGCACGAAGATTTCCAAACAGACGGCATCCAACTCGCTCAGTATTTGTAAGAGTGCATCGCCAAATAATTGAAAATGGTTTTGGAAATCTCCAAAGGGATCAAAACATAGATGTTCGTCAGCGCAGATTTACCCGTATGATTCTGCGTGAGTTTGATAGAGATCCGACCACAGATGTTAGGAGAGTTTCTGGTGCCTTGGGAATTTCAGCAAGCCATGTTCACCGTGTTCTTAGAAATGACCATAGACGTCCTTACCATTTGCAACCTATGCAAGGACTACAGCCAGGGGACGGAGAACGAAGAATCACATTTTGTCAGTCGATTCTTGATAGAACTGATAATAATAGGGAGTTTTTAAGTAACCTTAAAAATCGATATATCTCAAAAACGGCTAACTATAACGAAAACTCACAGGAGAGCCTTTTTATGTTGAAAAGTGCGAAGAATCAGTTTTGTTATTCAAAAAGCAAAAAATTGTACTAAGAAAATTTTTTCGGTCATTCTAATACACTGCAGGTACAGTAGAGAGCGCCCTCTAGCGGCTACAGTAAAACTATGCCCATGGTTCGTTTTGTCGTACCAAAAAACCCTTGTATACCAATTTTCACTGTTATACATCAAATATTGTTCGAAATATTTAAAAAAAACTATTTTAAAAAGTAAACTTAAACACCCTGTATTTTGGAAGCCACGCATTTATTCATTAATTTTAAAAGTTCTATCGAATCTTAAAGTTATGCAACAATAAACTGAAACACCCTGTATAAATAAATGAACACACTTAAAAAGTAATTAGGCGCTAATATTATTCTTAGAGAAGGGTGTTTTCCGGCTTCAGTAGGGCTATTCAGGTATTTCCCATAAAATACAGGTACCGGAAAAAGCCAGAGCCAAAAGGGCTTTTTACCTGGCATATTCTTGTTTAACACAACAAGATTAACTAAAATTGGCTAATTTTGGCTGTTGACCAGCGTAATTCCAGCTGAGGAAATTGCATACTACACTGTCAATTTGGGTGAATGCAAAAACCTTTGATGGAATTCACGAAGATTGGTGTCAGCTCAGAAACGCATGTTTGTTGACGGATCCACACAAATGAAAATGGGCTTCTTCACTAAAAAAAGCAAGTACGTCGAGAAGTCGTAGGTACACGTGCGTTCACCTGACAATTGAGCTCACGTTCAGAAAGTTCCTACGGTATTGCCGTCTTGTAAGGATGAGAATGAAGATCATGATGAAGAATTCTCCTCACAGAACGATGGGAAAGCCCAAGGGCGTGTTTGTGCTCTCACTGCTTCAATGTTTTCTAATGGGCCGAGGGACTAGTTCTAGATTTCGACTAAACTGTGTAGGAACAAAACTTTATAGTCTCTCCAACGAGGTCACTAGCATCCCGCTACCACATCAACCGAATGAATGGCGTGGATTTTAAAAAAGGAAGTTATGTTAAGTGCCAATATCTGAGAGGTACGAGTTTAGTAAACCTTCGCGATTTCAGATATAGAAGATCAATTCGGAATTAATTGATAATTCGAAATTGATCATTTGTATGAGCCATGCATCTTCAGGCGTTTTTCTAAAAATAGCTGCAAAGATAAAGCGTAATATCGGACTACTGTAACTAAGAATTAAAAAAATAGATTTGATCTCATTAAATTTTACATATCATTGTTTCAATTGGACACATATTGTTCCTGACGAACAAGGGGCTAACACTTGATAATTTGCATTAAAGCTCATGTTCCATTGAAAGACGCGCTAATTTAGTCTGGTTACAAGATCAAATTTGTGTTGTAATAATTTATAGCTGGCAAGTTATCTGTAATTAATTGGGATTTTGTATCAATGAGCAGAGAAAATATTAAAATAGTGTAACCGGGTAGAAAAAAGTTTGATAACTGAGTGAAAAACAAAAATGTGAGTTTTTTACACGAATTTCGACTTCTTTGGCTTATAAAAAGAAAAATTTTAAACCCATTTTACAGAAAGTCAAACAGATTGCCTCAGTATGTTTCACGCATTGATATCAATCTATTTTAAGATCACAACAATTCTGGCATCGCTAGTGATAAATGGAATAAGAGCAATTTCAATTTTTGAATTAAGTCTACTTGGAACTTTTGCCTTCAGGATTTTGATTTGAATTGATGGTGTAAGTTCATATTAGTCCCTTATTTCAGCTCTAGAAATGTTCGTACGGTTTGCGGCATGACCTCCCTACCTCCACTCATACTTCCTCGATAACTATATCTATTTAAAAAAAAAACGATCCAAAACTTGTTTATCCTAGCCGCACTGGTGACTTAGAAAGTATCATCAAAATCTGTTGGTAGACGTTTTCCGAGTAAACCAGATTGAAGGATTACCGAACGACACAGGCTAAAGAACATGAGTTAGATAGTTTTTTCTTGTGTTGTTTCCTACAATATATTTTCTCCAAAAACTTAAATGAAATTCGAATTAATCCCGCAGTTTCATTATAGGAAAATGGCTTTTCGGTAAATTAGTTGAAGTTTTACGTATAGTTTCCAACATGGCGATCAGAAGTCTCAACGGGGCAACCCTCAGAAGCCCCTCCCCTATTCCTTACGGAACCCAGATATTCTAAGTAGGGGTTATTGATAGATATGGAATCACATTACAAGTTTTAAATATTATCATAGAACAAGTAATTTAGAACAATCAAAATGGGAGCATATTTACCAAATCCTTAAAAAGATCAAATATTTTTAGACCATTTCAAAATCTGTAAAATGATTAAAAAGATTCTGTTCTTCCTTCTCTCCTGTCCTTCCCTTTTTTTTCTTAAAATTGTCTGGTCTCGGGTTTACCAGACCTGACAGACTTACAAACTGACACTATGACTCAAGGGCTAAGGTCCCATGGACCGCTCTGACAAGCAACGATGACTTGGCAAGAAGTAAAGCATAGTGCTGTTAGGATTTCTCCCAGACTGACCAATGGTGATCATGGATTTGACCTTGATAGAGTGGCCTTGAAGGTTATGGTCAGAGTCTTGTAAATTTTTAAAAGTGAGCATCCTACATTTCACGAGGAAGATATGTAGTCCTTGAACATCTCGCAAACACAACATTTGAGGGTTGTAGTCTGGAAACCCCTCCCCGACCTCCAGTTAGGAGGTATTGGTATATTTATATAGGATACAACAGTATGCTTTACTTCTTCTCTATTAATATTGCTTTAAAACTTATGTATCAATAACCCCTAATTGGGGATTTCTGGGTTCTATAAGGGATTCGTGAGGAGTTTCTGGGGGTTGTTCACATTGAGACTTTTGATTGCCACGTTGAATTCTACGTCTACGCATAATCTCAACTAATGGTCAAAAGCCATTGTCCATAAGAAAACTGTGGGGTTCCTTTTGGTGATTACAATTCAATCGGTCATTTCAAACACCGCCTAAGTTACATTTCCCTGAAAACGCTTCCTTGTAGGTAGATGCGTATTCATAGTCCATACAATCCTTCCCCTTAGAATAATACCGCGTAATACACGTTAATTGCAAAAGTCAAGTGAGATGTTTCTGTCGATAAGCAGGTGGGTGCCGATTATTATAGAAGGTGAAACCAATATGTTTGTCTACTTTCGCGATAACCAATTCATGGTTTCGATGTAAAACTGGAAATTCGATTTTCAAAGGGTGTTTGCTTTGCCTTGGTTGCCCCTGTGTACCTAAAGATATTATAACATGGAAAATTAAAGCATCTGAGATGTTAATAATTTTTTGACTTTCTATCTAAAACAACATAATTCTAGAACAGTTTTCGAGCTTCTTCCATAATTGATTTTATTATTAATAAAATGTGGAGGTTATTTGACATTTCAAGCTTTTAAAACTCAAATACTATAATGAGCCCTAAAAAATTGTTCAGAGTTGGTTTATTTTTCACTGACCTAGATTGTCTCCCGAGAAATTCAAATTGTGTGTCTTATGAGGATTTTGAAATAGTCGATTCAATCAAAAGAAAGCAGTAGACGCCTCCCAAACCTTTGACTCGACAAAAACTGTTTACAAAACTTCAGAGAAAACATAGTCGCTTTTTAGTATCGAAACACAAGCCCTGTAATGGCAGGCTAGCAGCAAATAAACGAATGAGGTTTGCTCGAAACATATCGTCTAAAGCTTTCAGCAGCAGTTCTGAAGGTGGCAAGTTAAAAACACAATTTTCTTTCATTGTTTTTGTTTTATTAGGCAAAGAAAAAATAATAATCATATCATTTACCGTTACACTTAGTTTCTTTCTTCTCGCAAGACAAAACGCAGATGTATCCATGGAAAACATTAGTGTCAAATCACTCACTCATCGTGTTAACCCAAATACCGCCATTCGATTCGAATTCGAACACAGAACGAACCGAGCGATTCCCAACCTGTTGATCCGCGTGTATTGCACGTTTACGACGGACTGGCGTCGAAGGAAAACATTCACCAATATAGCGCTTTTCCAACGGTTTTGTTGGCATACTTCCCCTTCGGAGCGTTAAAGCGAAAACGGCGTAACCGTTGGAAAAATATTCGCATTATATCCGTTTTACATTGACAATAAATACATGGAGCTCTACATGAATAGAGTTCAAATTTCAAATATGTAAAACACGAATTTGACATTAAATGAATTAATGAACTTCTTCGTAGATTTCTACGTGCTATTAGAAACTGTTCTAAATTTTTGCCAAGTTGCACGTCAAACTTCATGGCGCCAACCTTGTTTTCCTTTCCGTTATACTCGTATTGAACATATTTTCAGTTCACGTATAGAACTACAATATTTCACAATCTCGTTTCTGTTTTTTTTACACCGAATCAGCCACACAGGCAGAAGCCTAAATGCCGGGACACCGCGGCTGCTATGATGATCCCAAAGAAATTTTGTTATTACGATTTTTGAACTGTCTAAGGTTAGTAGAACTGGGAAAAGCTTCCTCTGGTAGATCACAATCTCGACACTCTCGGGACAAAGGAGCGGTCGTATCGGCAAGTTCTGGTTGTACGAAGTTCGACACGGTTAGGATGGGAGGCCAAAGTCAGGGGGGTCTGTCTAGCAGGCACATCGCGCGGCGGCATCATACAAGAGAGCTCTGAGGAACAAAGCCCGTTGGTGTAGCGGTAGAAAAGAGCTAGATCGCTGACGTCCTGCCGGTGCGAAAGGATCCCGAGACTGTTGGAGAAGAATCATCGATCAGTCGGACCGCCCTCCTCTGGAAGCATCGAGCATGGATAATGTAGTCGGGGCGGCAGCACCCCAAACGTGTGAGCAATACTCGAGACTAGACCTTATCTGGGCCTTGTATATAGAGTGAGAAAGCCATGCGGTGAAAAGTACTTAGACTGGCTTTTTCCCAGCAGCTGCCGCTATTGAGATCAGGTCCTCGGTGATCTGGACTCCGACAAGCCGAAATGAGTGGCTCTTTGGCAGAACTCGGCTATCCATCGAAACCGGATGAGCGCTAGGCCGCTTTTTGTTCGTCAAAGTACAGTACTGTATTTTGGAAGCATTAAACTGTACAAGATTGTTGACTCCCCAAGCAGTGATAGCCTCCAGGTCTCTCGTCAGAGAGGAAATCGTCGCTAGTCTTCTTTTTTCCACCTCAGCGGCAGAGATCGGCTTGTCACTCTGAACTCCGGCATGTAAAGTGCTGTCATCAGCAAAGCTGTGGTTTGGGTTGATCGTGCAGGAGAGGAGGTCGTTGATATGTAAGAGAAACAGTGCCGACGCCAAGACTGATCCCTGGGGAACACCCGCGTTGACGTTGTGGGATGAAGACGGATATCTTGCGGCCAGAAATAAAGTCAGCCACCCATCCTCTTAGCTTTTCTGGGCCATAGGATGGCAGTTTTGCTTAAGAGGATAGCGTGCCACAGCTGATCGAATGCTTTCGTGATGTCAAGAGCAACGACTTGAGCCTCACTATAAAAATGGATTAGTTTACCCCATAATTGCGTGATGTAAGCTAGGAGGTCTGCTGTGGATCGCTGGTGCCGGAAACCATACTGCCTGTCGCTAATCAAGCTGTGACGTTCGAGGAAGTCCAGAAGCTCGCGATTTATGCACCTCTCCATCACCTTACTTATAACAGATGACAGAGCTATAGCTATATATACATGTTTATGAGATTCATCTCAAGATCAAATGGTTATGTGATCGGCACTGTTGACAGGACTGTGTAATGTCAAATGATCCATATATCCATATAAACAAATGTTTGAAGAAATTGTTGATTTAGAACGGGTATTACATTTTGTCCATAATCGTCTATGAGTGGTCCTCAGAACAACACCCTACGCAGTTCTGTCAGATTATGTTCTACTTATTTAAAAGCTGCCGCTATATTAACTAACGCAAAAATAATCGAACATAGCAGTGCTCTTCGAAAGATGAAGTCTACCTACTTGACACATGTTTTCAACAAACTGAATTAAATCTAAATTTCGGTGAACTGAATATGTTTACTTTCCGATGTTGTAACTATAACCAACCGTAGACAGCGCTATTTCGTGAGCTTCAGTAACGGTACTAGTCTGGTCTTAGAGACAGAAAAGCCAAAAGCAAACAAGTGGGTGTGGTCTATCAATAATATCAAAATATTGTGTGTGAGAAATGGCGCCTACAAGTGGTCTGCCAAATTTGACACCACCCTCATCCCATACGCTGAAAGGGCAGACGACACCTACGGCTTTTTTTCTCGCATCGAAAAATCTTAGTATCCGTATCAAAATCTTCCGCGATTACAATACTTATTCGAATATACGAAATGGTTGTCAGGCGTCGAAGGAAAAAGGTTTGGCAATATATATATATATATATATATATATATATATATATATATATATATATATATATATTTGAATTCCTAAACACTATCCCAAGCGAAAATTCGGCATTTAAAATTTGCAATGTGAATGCACAACGCTTGGATGTATAAAAAATAGATATACTTATGCTAACTGAACATCACTTTTCGAAAATTTACATTCTGAAAATTATAGTGCTCTCTCACTTTTTAACTTATATATGGTGGAACTATGATACTGATGAAAAACTATAGAACTTAGAGAGAATTATCAATTTAAAAGTTTCTCTGGAGAAAGTCAACGGAAACTCTTCTTCAGCTATTTTTTCAACTAGCACAGACGCAGACTATGTACGTGGTGTTAGGGAAATAATAGTCGTAACTTTAAGTGGTGATTCCTTGCATTATTCTAAGCAAAAAATTTCATTATAACTTATGTCCGAAAATCAATCGTTTTCGAGAAAAGTGTGTCGTAAATAATTAAATTTGCTCAAACATTTGGCAACGGTGCAACGCAACCGCGATACGAGCGCACGATGAACGCTACTGATTCATCGAATAGTTTGCGTTTGTATGATATTTTTGTTGAAAATATTGAATTATTGAATACTTTTACGCAATTTTTTGTGGCTAATATTGTTTTATTCAATAACGCTTTCAGTACAGTACATTTAATTTAAAAAAAAATAATAGAACTTACCGGTACGTGGCGACACACTACCAATTCTCACGATTATCAGACTTATTTGAAACGATGAGATGCACGAAAAAAGAAAAAAAAACGTCTGTAAATCACATAAAGTTACAGTTAAATGCATTAGTGATCACAACAACACGCGATGATACATGCAGTGCAGGCGGAGTACGACGTTGCCAGTTGTGTGAGGGGTTTTGTTTGTCTGTTTTTCTTCGGAAAATTGTATTCAATAAGCAAGAAAATTATTTTATTAGAGACAGTTAATTAATAAATAGGTGTATTGATACATTTTACGCTATTAGGCATATGAATTTAAATTATTAAGGTGCAAAATTAATTTATTTCATGACTAAAAAGAAATAATTTCAGCATTTTTTTGATCCGAAACGGTTGATTTTCGGACATACGTTATAATGAACTTTTTTACTTAGAATAATGCAAGGAATCACCTCTTAAAGTTACGAATATTATTTCCCTAACACCCTGTAGTTATATGTGGTGATCTCAGTAAAGGTTCACCGACAGTTCCTCTAGTAGATTAGTGACGGATGTTTTACTACTGAATTTACAAGAGAATTCACAAATATCTTAGGTATCACGTCTTGCTAAAGATTATGTTATCAGTAACTTACTTGTCGAATCAACTTGATGTGAAGTTTTTGACCCTGTATTATCAGACCATTTTCACAAATGTTACAAATAATGAAAAATGAGTTATTACTAGCACTCGAAGAGACCTAAATAGTACTAACATCGAATATTTTAAGCATCTATTAATAACATAGTTATTCATTCATTGACATTTTTATTGATGTTTATTGTTTTGTAATACATTTTTTACCACATATACCAATTATTGTAATTAAAATAATAAATTTCATGTGATTGATTGACTTCATAGCACATAGCTATAGAATAAAACGAAAATTTTCACACTAATTTTGTGTGACACGTAAAAAACCTTTTGGTGGGTTCAGTATTATTTTTAATGAATATGTTCCTAATTTGAGCCCCACAACCATATTTCATGCACAATGTCCAACAACATCGCTATTTCCCACCCGCATACATTTGCCTTACATTGTGAGGCTGGTCGGTGGGCCGATAGTCTAATCATATTAGCAAATTTCCCCGAAATAATTGTAAAGTCTGGTTTTATTGGTGCAAGTTGTTCAAGGGGGTATTTAAAAAACCTTTTATTTGACAACAAAGAATGAGAAAACGTGTTTTTTGGGATTCAATCGAAAGTGTTGACAGGAATGAAAAAACTTTCCATATAAGATTTTTAGGTATTTATGAGATCTACAAAATGAGACCACACGAAAAAGGATCCGACTAATAGCAAAAAAGTTATGACCGAAAAACGAGGCAAAATCCAGGTCTTCACACTTGTTGGTAATGCGACGATAATTTCACGCAACTACTTAAATTCTTCAAATCCGTAGGATCAACACTTCTAAATAACAACAACATAATTAGATTATATTGGTCAAGTAGTTTTTTGAGACTTTCTAATTGTTTATCCCAAAACACCTGTTTTCCGCCCATCAGTACTGGCTTATTCAGCAATATACAGGGTTCGTTTAAAGAGCATTTAATAGCAAAATACACGTGTTCACCTTGCCGATATCAATTACAAACCATTCCGAAAGATAAATGTTATTTTTATGCAAAAAACTACGGTTACGTTTTTTTCAAACACTTGAGTGAGTGAGTAATTGAACAAATGCGCTACGATATTCCAAAAACATAGATTACTATACACATTTTAAAACAAAGCGGATGTGTCTATCATCTTTTGTTACGAATTACTCATAAATACGAGATGTTACAATTTGTTTAGAAGAAAAAACGTAACCCATCCTTTTTTGTATAAAAATAACATTTATCTTCCGGAATGGTTTTGCGATTTAT